GCAGAGGAGAGGGTGGGTCCTCCCAACCAGCAGGGGGCGCGGTGTGGCGGGGCGGGGCCTGGCCCGGCCACGCCTTTTCCCATCGTGCGCCGCGCGGGCGCGCCATAAGCTGGCGGCGGGGGGCGAGCGGCGGGTGCGTGAGTGCGAGTGTGAGTGAAAAGGGTGCGTGCGAGCGTGCGTGTGCAAGGGGTGCGTGTGTGTGTGTGCAAGGGGCGTGCGAGGCCGCGGTGCCCCCCGCTCACAGCCCTACACGTTGATCTTATTCGATCGGCCCCGGCCGAGATGAGAAGAGCAGCGCCGCGAAGCCCCGTTCCCATCCCGGGGCGCTGTGCGGCGGCGGCGCGGGCGGGATGAGTCGATCAGATAGGCGAGGCGCCGAGCCGCTGAGCTGCTGCGAGTCTGACCCGCGGCCGCCGCCGCACCGGGAGCGCGCATGGGCCCAGTGTCACGGACACGGGGCCGCGCGTTACCCCCGTCCCTGCGCCACCACCTGCACTGCAGCGCCCCCGTGCGGACGGGGGTGGAGGCGTGGCTGCCGTGCTCCCTGTATCCCATGGAGCCAACAGGCTGGGAAAGCCCTTTAATCCCATCCGGTCCAACCGGTCCCCATCAGTGCCAAGGCCACCCCTAACCCATGGCACTGAGGATGTGTGAACACTTGCAGGGACGGTGCCTGCAGCCCTGCCCTGGGCAGCCTATTCCAATGCCTGGTCATAGTTTCATTGAAGGAGCTGCCTAATTTCCAGTCTGACCGTGCCCTGATACATCTTGAGGCCGTTTCCTCTTGTTCTATAACCCACTTGTTCCTTGGGAGCAGAGCCCAGCCCCTCCTGGCTCCATCCTCCTCTCAGGCAGTTGGAGGCAGCCATCAGGTCCCCCCTGAGCCTTCTCCACACTGAACCCCCCGGGTCCCTCAGCCGTTCCCCATCTCCCCTGTGCTCCAGGCCCTGCACCAGCTCCATTCCCCTCTCTGGCCCCTCTCCAGCCCCTCAAGGTCTCTCTTGCAGCGAGGGGCCCAGAGCTGAACACAGGATCCGAGGTGCGGCCCCACCAGTGCCCAGCACAGGGGCACAGTCCCTTCCCTGGCCCTGCTGCCGCACTGGTGCTGGTACAGACCAGGATGGTGCTGTCATTCCTGGCTGCTGGGCACAAGCTGGCTCCATCACTCAGCACCCCCGCTCTTCCCAAGCCTGGAGCGTTGCAGGAGGCTGCTGTGGCCCAAGTACAGGACCTGGCACTTGGCCTTGTGGAACCTGATCCCATTGGCAAAGCCCATGGACCCGGAGGTGGCACCGGTCACCACTGCTCTGGGCTCGGCCACCCAGCGAAGGGTCCTCCAGTCCATGCCGTGGGCAGCCCCTGTCTGCAGGAGAGCACTGGGGACAGTGTCAGTGCTTTATTGAAGTCCCTGTCCCCGTATCCCAGGTCCCCCTGCCCCTGTGTGTCCCATGTCCCTATATACCTCTATCCCATGTCCACATGTCCCTATATCCCATGTCCACGTATTCCATATCCCCATGTCTCTATGTGTCCCCTCTTCCTATATCACATATCCCCATATCCCGTGTCCCATGTCCCTGCATCCTATGTTCCCATGTGTGTCCCATGTCCCTATATACCTCTATCCCATGTCCACATCCCTATATCCCATGTCCACGTATTCCATATCCCCATGTCTCTATGTGTCCCCTCTTCCTATATCACATGTCCCCATATCCCGTGTCCCATGTCCCTGCATCCCATGTTCCCATGTGTGTCCCATGTCCCTATATCCAATATCCCCATGTCCCTACATCCCATATCTCCATCTCCCTATATCCCATATTCCCATATGTCCCATATCCCTCTTTCCCCCATTCCCCGTGTCCTGGTGCCCCCAGCCCTTAACAGGAGATGGGACCATTCCCGGGGTGTGTGTGTGGGGGGGGGTGAATTCACTCCCGGTGCCAGGCAGGGATGGAGGGCCGAGGGGGGGTGGGTGGAGAGGGTGATTCCTGGTGCCATTCCCGGGATCACGCTCCCAGTAACAGGCTTTGCAGGGATAACAGTGCTGGGATAACGATGCTGGGATAATGATGCCAGGATAACGATGTTGGGATAACGATGCCGGGAGAACGATGCCGGGATAACGATGCCGGGATAATGATGCTGGGATAATGATGCCGGGATAATAATGCTGGGATAACGATGCTGGGATAACGATGCCGGGATAACGATGCTCGGATAACGATGCCGGGATAACGATGCCGGGATAACGATGCTGGGATAACGATGCTGGGATAATGATGTCGGGATAACGATGCCGGGATAACGATGCTGGGATAACGATGCTGGGATAACGATGTTGGGATAACGCTGCCGGGATAACGCTGCTCGGCTCCGCTCCCGCTCCAGCGCTCCCACGGTAACGGCGCCGCTGCCGTTCCCGTTCCCGTTCCCGTTGTTCCCGTTCCCTCCGCTCCGCCCCGGGGCGGGGGCGGGCGCAGGTGCCCGCAGGTGCGCGCACGGGGCCGGGCCGTTGAGCGGGAGGGGCGGGGCCCGTGCCCGGTGCTCGGGGCCCGTTCGGGGCCGAATCCTGCGCCATGGCCGGGGCCCGCTGGGCGCTGCTGGCGCTGAGCCTGGCGGCCGCAGCCGGGACCGGGACCGGGACCGCCGGGGAGCGGCTCCACGTCTGCAAGGAGGTACCGGTACCGCGGGGGGGGCTACAGGGTGCGGGGGGTCCGTATAGGGGGTGTGGGGGTCTCTATAACGGGTGTGGGGTCCCCTATAGGGTGCGGGGGGGGTCTCTATAACGGGTGTGGGGTCCCCTATAGGGTGGGGTCTCTATAACGGCTGTGGGGTCCCCTATAGGTGCGGGGGGGTCTCTTAACGGCTGTGGGGTCCCCTATAGGGTGTGTGGGGTCTCTATAACGGGTGTAGGGTCCCCTATAGGGTGTGTGGGGTCTCTATAACGGGTGTAGGGTCCCCTATAGGGTGTGTGGGGTCTCTATAACGGGTGTAGGGTCCCCTATAGGGTGCGGGGGGTCTCTATAACGGCTGTGGGGTCCCCTATAGGGTGCGGGGGGGTGTCTAATGGCTGTGGGGTCCCCTATAGGGTGTGTGGGGTCTCTATAACGGGTGTGTGGGGTCTCTATAATGGGTGTGGGGTCCCCTATAGGATGCGAGGGGGTCCCTATAGGGTGCGGGGGATCTCTATCATGGGTGTGTGGTCCCCTATAGGGTGCGGGAGGTCCATATAGGGTGTGTGGGGTCTCTATAATGGGTTTGGGGTCCCCGATAGGGTGTGTGGGGTCCCTATAGGGGGTGTGTGTGTATCTATAATGGATGTGGGGTCCCCTGTATGGTGTGTGGGGTCCCATATATGGGGTATGGGGTCCCTATAGGGGGTGTGTGTGTATCTATAACGGGTGTGGGGTCCCCTATAGTGTGTGTATCTCTCTCTATAATGGGTGTAGGGTCCCTATAGGCTGTGTGTGTGTATCTATAACAGGTATGGGGTCCCCTATACCGGGGGGGGGTGTCTCTATAATGTTTGTGGGTGTCCCTATATTACGGGGGGGCTGCTCCTGTGGCGTGGGGGAGTCCCTATAGTGTGGAGTTCTGTGTAGTGTGTGCGGTCCTTATAGCAGGGGAGGTCGTTACAGCATTGGGGGTTCCCTATAGTGTGACAGCATCCCTATAGCATGGAGGGGTCCCCTATAGTGTCTGTGTGGGTTCCTATAGTGTGTGTGTGGGGTCCTTATAGTGGGGGTGGCTCCACCCTCGCCTAGAAGGGGATCCCATGGAGGGGCTGTCACCCATAGGGGATGTATGGACCGGGCTGTGCTGCTTGTAAAGAGAAGGGGGATGCTGCAAAGGGTCCCCTATAGCGATGGGATGGATAAGGGGGGGGTGTCTGTGATGCTGGGAGTGATCCAGGGGGGTCCCTATGGCCACCAGGTCCATGCTGTCCCCACATCCCAGTTGGATTCTGACACTGGGGAGACATCGTAGTGCCCCCAAACCCCAATGGGGAGGAAGTGGGTGTCACCCATGTCCCATGGGCTGGTTCCATGCTGGCCCAATGGGGACAGATTGCCCTGTGAGGGGAAAGGGGGGGGGCTCTGCTCACCCCATGGGGTCCCCCCCCCCATATGCCCCGCGGCTGCTTTCATCTGGGTCTGTGATCCGGTTTTCCACCTGTGTTTGTTCCAGAGCCCGGAGCTGGGAACAATGGGATGGGGCTGGCTCCCGGCCCAGGGAAACACCCCCATGGGGGGGAATTGTGTCCCTTGTCCCCATCCCTCTCTGGGGACAGCCCCAACCCGCACCCCCCTGGGGGTGAATTGGGTCAAAAGGTTGGGATTTAAGGGAAATTCGCTGCTTTTGTACCAGGGGGGAGTTTGGGAAGAGGGGAACGAGCTCCTTCTTCCCATTGGAATCCATCCGGAGCCAGCGCTGCTCCTGCACCCATGGGGGTCCCGGTGCTGGTGGCACCAAGCTCTGTGTCCCCAGCCCAGGCTGGGGGCCCCCTTGATGCTGCCACAGCGCCAGAGCCAGCGGCATTGGCCTTCACTGGGATCAATGGCTCCGGTTGGATTCGGCTCCTTGGCCTGGAGCCAGTCCCAGCCCAGAAGGTCACAGTGCCCCGGCTCTGATCCTGCCGGCGGCACCGCAGTGGTGCTGCCACCCAAGGGTCCTTGCAATGAAGGGTGTTCCCGATGGAGGGCACTTCTGATGGAGGGTGCGCCCACCAAAGAATGCACCCAATGGAGGGTGCTCAGGTGGAGGGTATTCCCAATGGAGGGTGTTCCTGATGGATGGTGCTCCTGATGGAGGATGCTCCTGATGAAGGGTGCTCCCAATGGGGGGTACTCCCAGTGGTGATGCTCCCAATGGATGGTGCGCCCACCAAAGGGTCCTTCCTATGGAGGGTGGTCTCAATGAAGGATGCTCCCAATGGAGGGTGCTCCCAATGCAGAGTGCTCCCAGTGAAGGATGCTCCCAATAGAGGGTGCTCCCAATGAAGGATGCTCCCAATGAAGGATGCTCCCAATAGAGGGTGCTCCCAATGAAGGATGCTCCCAATGAAGGATGCTCCCAATGCAGGGTGCTCCCAATGCAGGATGCTCCCAATGCAGGATGCTCCCAATGGAGGGTGCTCCCAATGCAGGGTGCTCCCAATGAAGGATGCTCCCAATAGAGGGTGCTCCCAATGCAGGGTGCTTCCAATGAAAGATGCTCCCAATAGAGGGTTCTCCCAATAAAAGATGCTCCCAATGGAGGGTGCTCCCAATGCAGGGTGCTCCCAATTAAGGATGCTCCCAATGCAGGGTGCTCCTGATGAAGGGTGCTCCCAATGGGGGGTACTCCCAGTGGCAGTGCTCCCAATGGATGGTGCTCCCACCAAAGGGTCCTTCCTATGGAGG